AATATTCTTTTAGGCCGAAACTTTCAGAATATTTTCGAAATCATCAGGCTCATCGATGGACAAAGTTTTAGATCGAAATTCTGTTATTTAGTTTTCTGGTAAATACCTAAAGCGCAATCAGAAATTCAATGAAAACGCGGTCATAATTTAGCACCCGAGACTCATGAACACGAACGCTTCAGAATTTTTTCTAATTTTATGAAGACCTCCTTATGAACTTAGTATAAACTTAATCAACAAGTATCAGTTTGGGTAGATTCATCATTACTAAGTATGAAGGTTGTATTTAAGGTAAAAAGAAAAAGTATCGAATTCATTCTCGAATGGTCATTGGATGAACAGAAACCGTATAATAACCCAACTTAGACCAAATGATGTGTCAATGATCATTATAAGGACACACGTATTGAATACGAAAAATGAATAACATGTAACATGTAATTCACAATTATACATCATAATGCATTTGTACTTAATTATCAAGGTTTACAATCATCAATTCGATGTGGCAAAACCGTAAAAACGAAATTTGTAAAGGAGTAAAAACAAACAATTTAGTTTTTTTTCATTATATAGTGGCTCTCAAGTATATTTGACTAGGTTTATTTTCAATTGTTTTTTCACCGCTGTAAACATTAATACGAATTCAAGTAGTGATTGATGTGGAGAATTTTTTAAAATAAAAATGATAGCTAGTTTTTCAAGAATAGGATCTCTGGAAAACCACAAACCCAAGTTTTTACATTTTTTGAAATTCTGTTTAAAATATCCAGCATGATAAAGCAAACAATTCTCTCTAAGATGAAACGTCTTCCGACTCTCTAGAACATGTTTTTTGACTGAGATACATCAATCTTACAAAAGGCACACAACTGATGTTTCTAAACAAAACAATCGAGAAGAAAAAACAATTTTTGTGTCTTCCGTTAGATCAAAAAACGTTGTAAAGAACTGAAAAATATTTTGTTTTGTAGAGACTTGTTTGTTCAATTATTCTCATTGTTATTGATAATATTAAGATCAAACTGACAAATCATCAAATTTGATCGAATCGGGAATAAATCTGCAATTTTTCTAATGTGCTATATATCGAAAATGTCGTTGGAAAACAACAAGTAATCAATCAAAAGAGTTATTTTCATCAAATGAAACTGCTTCAATGATAATGACAATTACTAGATAAAATGGAAGGAGTCAAGCATCTTCTGAATGAAAATATCTATTGAAGACCTATTAGAATATGTATGAGTAACATAAGTTTAAAAACATAATATTCTTTACCTGAAAATACTCGATCTTGTTGAATTTCAGAAGAACAATTGAATGAAATTCTTAAGTCTATAAACAATCGATCAACATAAAATTCTACAATACTTGAAAATTGTAAATTAATAATGGTTGACTGAGTTTAATCCTATTCTTGATGATGAAATATATTTTATAGCCCAAAGACAGTCGTTTTTTATTATTTTAATCATCGATTTATAATATTTCAGAATAGGTTATTTCTAATGTATGAAAAAAAAACAATTAAGAGTGAATTATATCTTCAAACTCAAATTGTTCCGTACTCATTGTACACTTTTAGAGACATGAAAAATCTAGAATAGATTTAGAGTATGAATTTGTTTTTAGTCTTAATTCACATAAATAGTTTGCAATTTGATGACTGTTATTCAAGCACAAACTGTTTGTATGATTTTTGTCCAAGACTCCAGCTCTGTGAAGTCGATTTGTTTCAGCTCCCAAAGCTTTTTTTAACTGTTGTAGACAGTGACTCTGAAAATTGATCATATAAATTTAATTTCGATATTTTTCATGATGGTAATTCGCGTAAAGAATCAAAACCATGATTTTAGGGAAATGAAATCTTCACACAATTCGTATCTATCTTGTCAGCATCCAGAACACAAAAATAAAAATTTGGTTTTGTTGTACAAGGCGACAGAGCAACTAATTCTCTATAAAATTGAAACGTCTTCAAGATCTTCATGACATATCTTGAATGGATTACATAAATTTTAAGAAAAACTTGAAAACATTATTTGTCCGAATTTTTTTGCGAAATGACGAAAAAAATTCTTTTTACACTTTTCTTAATATCGATGTAGTTTATGGAAAAAAATATCATGATGAGCGCGGAGACGTGTCATTTTTCAGAGAATCAGTTACTCTATGTAATAAAAAGAAATTGTTTTTTTTTAGCTCAGAGTGCTGAAGCGCTAAGCTTGAAGTTTTCTAGAGATAATGCATTTTGAGAATACTATAAAGATTTTATTTCCTTTTAAATTATTGTTGCAAACAATTTTTTCTATTCACTCTATTATTTCGATTTTTTATGAAAATTACCATTACCGCAAAACGGAATTTATATAAATCTATTTTTATTTATTACTTAACATACGAATCATATACTTGTTGTCATGTAAGAACAAAAATACTTCACTGTTTTTATGGTATAACCCCGGATTTCGGAGTCCAATGCAGGACTCTATCCAAATACTAAGAATTTCATCCTAAAGTTCAAACACATGTCTAGTAAAGTAAATCATTGTTGATGTCCCCGTATCCTATTAAATCCTTTTTGAGATATAGGTCATTTAAGACCAAACTCAAATAAAATTCAAGTCTAATCTTAAATCCAAACTAAATATTACGAAATCTCAAAGCTTTAGGTTCGTTGCATTCCTACAGAGTCTCATTCCATTGAGTTTGTTCTGTTGCTAATCGAGCAAATGTTATGAATGACAATAATTTAAGTCTCGAAGAAAAAAAAACTATTTAGACTGTTATTATGTGTATTTGAGTGAGTTATTGAATTGCATAATGAGATGAATTTTATTTTATTAAACTTCATACTAATAATAATAAAGAAAATACATTTGAACATTTTTTTTATATGATTTTCGTTCTTTTATTAATTCAGAAGAAGAATGAAATTCTGTTACTTTCATTTTTTTTCTTCTTGTCATTGTATTCTTTATATTTTATAAATCTTTCTTTAATATCATACATAATTTATAAACCATATTTTAAATACATTTTGCAAAGATATAACATATATTAATGAGATAGTTATTTATATATGAAATATGACACAGAAATCTTGACCCGTTTTATATAAAAATTGTTCTTGTTGAACTATGTTTATAGAGAAAGAGTACTTTTCAAAAGGATTATAAATTGGTTTTTGTTGTCCTTATTACATATAAAAGTAAATTAACTAATAATAAAATAATGAAAACGATGTTTGACTTAAACAATGAATTCGCATGTCAAAATTCTTTTCGAATAGTTTTATGATTAATTGGATATTTATTATTGTAACTTGTTATAATCAGTAGCATGCATTAGTTATGTATGTAAAAGGAAAGAATTCTTCCTAGGAAATAACTAATATTGACATTGAATGACATTCTTATGGAAATTTATCTTTTTTTTTTTTTTACATTGAGAATCATTAGGATAGAAAATAAATCCAATATTAAGCATAAAATTAGTGAAATGTCATTTAATATATGATACACTAGAAAACATCCAAACAGAATGGTTTACAAAACTAGTAAAACCTAATAAAAGGTTAAAGTAAAATAAAACTGGTTTTTCAATGATAACGTGTATGATTTTGTGTTGAAGTCTTTCTTTTGTTATGACAAAATTAATGCACGATATTGTTTATATTAAACTATAATAGAAAATATAGAATTCATCATAGAATAATTCAAAATTAGTCGATTATTACATTTGTAATGATTCAAATAATATCGGTTAGTAAGCTTCTAAATGTGATAGGCGCTTTTATATTAATCATCCTATTGTTCTTTCGAAAAGTGCGTTCTAATGTTTGTTTTTTCTATTACAAACAGGTATATGAGAACATTTTATCAGTAATGTGAAAATATTAATTATACGAAATAAATCATTACTTGTGGGTCAAATTTTTTATATGTAGATGTTTTTTTTTCTGAAATGAATTGTATGTTAGATAAAACTTTCTTTTAAAAATATATCAATTGATGAAAAAAGAAATTTCTTTGACAAAAACAAGTTTTCGAACATTTATTATTGTATTTGTATTAAGATTATTGAGAATCGGATATATTGTCAGATTAAAGGTTAATAAAACATATAAAGTGCTCTATTAAAAAATAACTCATTATTTCTTGTTTTATTTCTCGATTACAAGTAATTTACGTAGGAATCAAAAATAGTACATCATAATAGAAGGACTATCTTTTGTGTAGATCAGCAAGGTTGCTTAAAGATATAACATATAACAAGAATGTTTAATTTAAAAAAAAAAAGAAAAAAAGTTATGATTAATCTGAGAAGATATTTCGAGATAATATACAAATACATCAATAAAGAATAAATATTTTTTTGTTTCTCGGATGAAAAACAAAACAAAAAACAAACAATATAATGACACAGGTTAAAAGCCGTATCTTTCCTTCACAATATCCTATTCAAGTTTACTTATATGCAAGGAAAAGAACCATTGTTTGAAATCAAACATCAATAATTATTCGTAACACGCAAAGCAACCACATACACATCAACACACATTGCTTTCAAGTTGAATTAATAATAGCTCATAGAAAAACTTTTTCAATATCAAAAAGAAATACGTTGTAAGGACATTTCATCGAAGCTAGAGGTCGATTGCTGTTACACACGTCTCATATGACAAGCATCAAGCGATCGTTTTATTGACAATAACCGACTCGACCAACGCATTCTACGACGTTTTATTAAATATGTAAACGTCTGTAGTGCATATTTTTCTTAGATCAATACCAATCACCTTTATTTCTTCTTTCGTGGTCTATCTATGACATATTTTTCTTCTCTCATATTGTTTTTTGATTGTGTTTTTTTGTTCTCTGTTGAAATAGATCGTATGCATTAAGAATCAGATAAATCGAACGATAATAACATATACTTTTTAAATGCATTGAAAAAGAAAAACGACAATAAAAAGAAAATTTTTATATGCCTAGTCAATTAGGTCTCACACTCGTCTGATGACGAGTTCCGATAACATTTATATTTTGAATATCAAGTTCATATGGATCTGAAAAAGCTGTTCCTGGATTAAAATTTACAGGAATTGATACTGGATGACATTGAGCTTGGTCTTTTGTTGATGAATGAATTTTATTGGAATTTTTTGTAAACGCATGTGAAACAATTGATGCATCAATACACATTGGAATATAATGTGTACCAGATGGATGTAGAACAAATATTGGTACTTTAACAGGAGAATCATATTGTTCAGTTGAAGTTTGTCGTACTCGGATTGATGGTTCTAAATCACTATGTTTATGTTGTTCTGTGTCAGATATAGTACATAATTTATCATCATTTTTATTTAATAAATTAGGTTTTGTTATTTGTTCTTTAGATGATATTGGTAATTTATTTTGTTTATCAGATAACGATAAATATTTCGTTCGTTTTCTATCTGGTAGAACTAAAATATTTAAAAATAAATCAATTAATTCTATTCTGTGTCTTTATTTTTATCAAATTATATTTCTAACCGGTTAAGCTTTTTAAATCGATTTCCTTTTCTTTACAATATTGTGCAAATTCATTAATTTGATCACTCTCAGCATATTCATTAATAAATTCAAATACATCAGAAAGTCCATTTTGATAACCAGTTCGATATGAATCAAGATATGTATCAGTTTTTTTAGCTAATAGAAATAAAAACAAAACTACATATATATATAAATATAATTTTCAAATATTATTTTACAATTTTTTTCTACTGTTGATATTAAATGACGTATATGAGTGATAGCCATTTCAATGATTTCTGTTTTTTCAATACGTCGTTGACTTTCATTATTTTTATGAGGTGTTAATTGTAATAATTCATTGAGACAAGCATTCATACGATCTCGACGACGTTTTTCAATTAATCGATGAGATTTTGGATCCTATTTAAAAAAAATCAAAAAACATATAGAGATTTTTTAAAATTTATTACAACGAACTCTTAATGGAAGTAGTTTTTTTCTTCGAAATGCGGAGCTTTCACTACCAGTACTGCCAGTAGTACCCACTTTTGATTGCCTGTTATTTTTTTTTTAAAGAAAACAGTTATGTAAAATAAAAACAAAACATATAATAAACATACCTAATCTGATCCATGAATTCTTCATCAGCTGAATTACTAAATGATTGATCATCAAGAATAATTTCTAATGCTGATGACGACATTGTTGAGGATAGACAATCGTCTGACATTCGTTTTTTATTTTCACTATGATTTTGTAAAGCCATATTATTATAATATCTAAAGTATGTAAAAGAAAATACGAATAAAGATAAATGTATGTCATAAAGGCTAACTAGTGAAAAATTTTCGCGATTTTCAATCGGATTTTTGTGCAACAAAATCAAAATTAAAATCGATTGATAATTTTGATTATTGTTCATCATGACTTAACTATTATTTGATATTGTTGCTTATCCAGTGTAAAATTTTCTGATT